ATCCCACCCCAGCTGGGTTTATGATGACCCCAGGGGCTTGAAAACCAAAAAATGAGAAACAACCTTGCACCCCACTTCACTTATATTTTCTCACATCCAAAAAGGGCAGTTAGAGAGTTGGCTGTGAATAAGAAATTCCACTGAGCAAACTGAACAAATTTCAGTTACAAGATGGATCTTCTCTGTCTTACTCCTAACATCTAATACAACAAAGGTAAGGCATTCTAACCTGAACTTTTGCTTCTCTGCATTTGCAATGTTAATTTAGCACTTATATTCTTCCTCAGAAAGTGTACATGGAACGATCCACCTACACAATGAAGTAAGTAGTCATTTACATATCTATTAACTAAATTGCTCTGACAAAGAATTTCATAAATCCATAGTTACTACTCTCTAAAAATAAGAATTTTATACTGTCAAGGGCAAGAGTACTTTTTGTTTTCCTGGTGCTCTTATATTAGCCCAAGCAAAGCAAAAGCTAAGGCCCTCTAAAGCATTCATGTGTCATTTTTCAGTCTGTCCCCAAATCCTTGCTTAAAACCCATCTATACTGAAATATAATTTCAGAGCATACGTTGCCTTTTGATGTATTTTGTAATCCTCTTCATATTAAGGAGATATGTTTTTACACCTATGGGCTGAAGTCTTCCTTAAAGATCTTTGTGTTATAATAGGAAGTTCTTCTAATATTTTGCATTATAATCGTCTTGAAAGCAGGGAGCGTGTTTTATTCATCTTTTGATTCCCCAAAGCACTTTGTGCTTTTCACAAATAGGAGCTGAACAGATATTTGTGGAACAAAACAATTCAATCCTAATCAGTTCCCTGCTTTCTGATACCTGATATTAGTTTCTAAGTAGTCTTAGAAGCCTTCAAATAAACAGGGGAAAAGCAAACAAACCCCCAGCCTCTCACTCTGATCCAGCCTAGAGGTTATCTGATTCACATACCCGCTTGTTAGACTTTAACCAAAAGAGCCATAACAACTCAGACTCAGGATGCATATGAAAACATGTCTGTTCCCAGAATCCAGCTGTGAAGACCGTCATAATTTTAAAAAGACTAAGGATGGGGGAAATGACTGTTTTGTACAAATGATAGCTTCAGGTCAGCAGGAAGTACAACATGTTATTACGGGGCTTGGGTAAAGTCAGAGATCAGGTTGATTTAATATGCAGATAGTTATCCAATAACACAAAGTAGGGGTAGAATGTAATGAGTTAAAACCAGTAAGATCAGTGAGACTCAAACAGATATTTGTACATCCACATTTCACAGCGGCATTATCATAATAGCCAAAAGGTGGAAACAACCCAAACATTCATCAAAAGTTCATGCTAAGTGAAATAAGCCATTTAAAAAATGTGAGTCCACTCATGTGGTACCCAGAGTAGTCAAATTCAGAGACAGAAAGTAGAGACAGAAGGTTGCCAAGGACTGGGAGTGAAAGCAAATAGGGAATAATTATTTAATGGGTATGGAGTTCTGTTTGGAAGATGAAAAAAGTTCTGGAGATGGGTGGTGAAGATGGTTACATAACAATGGGAATGTACTTAGTGCAAGTGAACTTAAAAATGGTTAAAATGGTAAATTTTATGTTATGCATTATTTAACAATAAAAGGGTTCTTAAAAACAAACCCAGTAAGCTCAAATTTAACAAGGCTAAATATAAAGTAATGTGATTCAGCAACAGCAACACGACTTTAGTACTGAATGGAGAAGACTGAGCTTATGAATCCAACAGATTTGGAATTTTTGGTTCCACAGTTTCATACATGAGTCAACAAGGTGCACGTAGCTGGCTGTTCAAACCAGCCAACCAGTATTTGTCTACAACAGTCTCTCACTCTGATTATTCTAAACAGATTAGACCCCACTGAGGGATCAGAGTCCATTATAAGAGCCCCTGAACTAGCAGAGCTTACTCTGGAACCAGGAAGAAGGTCAACTACTTCAAAATAGGCAAAAGGGTATCATGTGCAACAGGCATGAGACTAATGGAAAAAATTAACAGGGAGGAAAAAGTTCAAAATAAGAAAAACTATGTAACAAACCAGTTGACTGATAAAATAGGCCACCTCATGAAGCTGTGTGCTCCAAGGCCCTGGTCATATCCAAATTGAGGCCACTCAGGAACGAGTCCTACGAAGGGTGGGAGGCCGACCTGGATGGTAGCCAGTGAGGGCTTCCAGCTGCTACGCTTTGGAAGGTGTGTGCACACAACCTGCACGTGGCAAAGGCACGAACTCTGGCTGATACTAACTTCCTTGCAGGAGCTGAACTTCTTTTAGTTGGGGAAAAAATGGGTAGAGACTTTAATAGTACTTCTTTAAAATAATTTTCCTTTCTCAAAGAAGGCAGGAGAGGAGAGAATAACTTTTTAAAAGACTTCCTCTCTTTACTGACTGCTGAATGTGTAGAAGGGGAATAATTCCCTGGCTCGACTGCCGGCCCCCTGCCTACCCTGCTGGATGGCAAGGTCTTCAGGGGTCTAGGTCTCACGCCAGTTGGCTTCCTCAGCCCTCGACATAGGTCTGGATGTGAGGAATATGCGCAATCAGTGCTCCTTAACCTGAATGATATCTTGTATTTTCTTTCCTTTTTTTGGAAAGCAGGAGCTGGGAACATTTTTCTAACAAGTAGGGAGCTTCCCTTCTGTGAAGAGCCAGTGACTCAGAGAAAAAGAATCAACTGGTAGCCTCAAGTAAGTTGAAAAAAAAAGCCCATTTTAACTTTGAGGGTTTTTTGAGAGACAAAGGACTAGGATTATAA